CGCATGCGCTTGAATCTTGCACGTGGAGGGGCTGGTTCAACGGTGGGACCAGCTCGACAACATAGTTCTCAAACTCAATGCGAGAACTTGCGACTACCGCGGTGTCCCCGGATGTGAGAGAGGTTGCTAGCAAGGCAGCCGACTCCGACGGACAAGGAAGTGTTGTCGCTGCACTTCCCGCGGTGCTCAGTTTCCTGAGCCCGGACGTTTGACATTCTCCTTGTCCTTGTCGAGGCAGGCACTTGTGACATGTTTGCTGCCGTTGCACCACAAACAGCATGACCATTTCTGTCTCAACTTGAACATGTCTTCGGTAATACCGAACTTCGTCCATGGTGACTGTCCTGCTCCATCCGCCGACGCTGGTTTCACCTTTTGTTTTCCCCCTCAGGGTCTTGAGCGTTGCGGTGGTATCGCTGCCGCCACATCTCCGTCACTTGATGTAGACTCAGCTGCGGGGTCCTCACTTGTTCCTTGCTGGACTGCTGCAACTTGCGGCGTCCGTTGACCTTTGCCTTTCTCTATGTAACCGGGTTGTTAGCGGGTCTCGTTGGCCGCCCACCGGTTACCTTGTATGAGCTCTCTTGCCTTTGATATCATATCATCAAAGGTCTCATACTGGAATTCGCTGCCCAAAACAGCTGTCAAGGCGTCGCATGACCGAGCGAAAAATTCGGCCCGGATTGCGTCGAATGGCAAGCTCAACTCCGGGGTGGCGACGAGTCTTTGCCACTCCGTCAGCCATTCCCGTGATGTTTGTTGGCTTTGGTATATGCGGAAGATCTTGTTCATGGCATGTCGTTTGTCATTGTTGACCATAAACCGGGTCTTCCATTTCTTCTCGAATTCCTCCCATGTAATCTTCGTGTGGAGGTTGGCGATGGTGCATTCCAACGTGACAGCCATGTGTGTCATGAAAGCCTGCGCCCCTCCGATGAGTTGGAGGTAGAGTGCATCAAGCCGCCGATGTGCGGGGGTGTGATGTACATCCGCCTCTGCGTTGAAAGCCATCCACCATTGCAGCAGATCGGTCTTGTGATAGTCATCGAACTTCTCGATCTTGAAGTTCGGCATCTTCCATTCCTTGGCGGCAGCGGCCGGTCGTTGTTCGATGCGGCCGCTGAGCGTCTGCAGCTGATTGCTGGCTGTCGATGCTTCAGCAAACTTGCTGATGTCGCCGAGGGATGCGACCATGTGGTTGATCCGCTCTTCGAGTTGCTTGGCCTGCGCGGCCAAAGCTGGGCTGCAATCTACCACTGCACTGCCCGTTGACGCAGCTGCCGACAGTTGTGCCAACCCCATGCTGACATCGGTCTGCAACTGGTCGTTGAGTGTCTGCTGCTGGCTGTTGGCGGCGTGTAGTGTGCCGATCTCGGCCTGCAGGGTAGCGATCTTCTTGTCCAATGCCTTGAATGTTGTTTCATGGCGGATGAAGACCTGCCGCATGGCCAGCAGTTCACGTTGCTGCCAATTGCACGTGTACAGCAGATTCTCCATCAGTACTGCTGTACCTTCCTTGTTACTTTCTTCCTCGGTCGGCTCTTGTCGTTCTTCGGTTTCGTGGAAATGCTGTCGTCGAAGTAGCCTGCTGTACGTGGCTTCGTCGCGTGCAAGGTCCATCGTGGCTTGGTAACGAGCTTGGTGTTGACTTGCTTGGACCTGCTGCTGTTGCAACCGTGCGGCTGCTGTGGCCTGCTGACGTGCTGCCTCTACCTCTGCCAGCTGGCATTGAATTTCCTGCTGGCGGGGGGCTTCCTCCTCTTCCCACTTGCTGAGTTCAGCTGCCGTGGTCTCCGAGTAGAGCTGGAGCCGTTTGAGAAACGCTAGAAGCGGTTCATCGGCCTGCTGAACTGGGATAGGAGGGGTAACCGGCCTCTTGGGGCTGGCTTGTGCATTCTCGTCAGCGGTAGCAGCCATGGTCGTGCATGGCCTGCGCGGAATCCGAGGGGTCCTAGGTCCCTGTTGAGGCTTGGCTCCTGCGGATCCGCGCTCGGCCAGTCGTTGGCTGCGGCGCATCAAGTACTTTGGCCTTCGTCTGCTGCTGATGTGTCACCGCTGAGGTGGCACCTGCTGATGTGGCACTGCTGAGGTGGCCGCTGCTGACTGGGCACTCGGCTGACGTGGCACGCTGAGGTGGCACGTGGCTGATGTGGCAATCTGCGTTCATGGCCTGCTGCTGATGTCGCACAATGCTGACGTGGCCGGAGACTGACGTCCGTGGTACCGAGAGGAGGATAGAGAAGGTAGGGTCGGGAGGAGGGGCAGAGAGGCAAACAATGCACAGACAGTCCCTTTCTCCCTGACCTCGAAGTCTGACACTAATCAACAGAAAAAATCCCCCCCCCCCCGACGAAATTTCGTATTTTAAGAAATAAAATAAAATTTAATGGGAAAATATGAATTAATCAAATTTAATTTCGGCAAAAGATTAAATATTTGATTAAATAATATTTAAATTTGCAATAATTAATTTCGCAAAAGTTAAATATTTAATCAAGAATATTTAAATTTGCTCAAATAAAAATGAATAAAGTTTAAGCAAGTTTAAACATTTAAACATAACTTCAATAATTTCACAAAATTTTAATCGGGAGAATTTAGCATCATCACAAGGTCACTAAGTAAGTAGAAGATGAATGGTTGCAGGAAGATACACAATTTGCTGGAAAAGATTCAAGCTTTAATCGCAAAAAGATGCATTTGCAAAAAGTGAGAGTTCCGTGAAGTTGCAGTTTGAATGTGGACGTGCTCAGGACCGATCTGCCTTGATTGGCGCGGTGCCTGGCTGGCACTTACTTCGCATAGGTTGGATAGGCCATTTAGATTAGGTGAGGACTAACCCTAATTAGCGCTAATTAGGTTACTCGTAATTAGCAATTCCCTAATTGCGCGATATGGAGAAAAGTCGCAAAACCTAACTGTAATTCAATGACCTAATTACTATGTAAGTACGAGAGAAAAAGAAAAAATTGCAACTTGCGATGTAATGCTAACAGAGTGCAGGTATAGATAATCAATCAATCAATCAATCAATCCATCAATTAATGGTGACTCATCCAATGCTGGTCTGCTCCGATACCAAACTGTTGCATACTCGTGAAACACAGTCATAAGTATGGCGCAGATTCCCAGAACCGACCAGATAATACAGAGTTGATACAAATACAGTGGACGAGTGAGATACCTTGGACTGACTCGGACCTGACTCGGACTGCAATCGAAACACTCTCAAACATTCATCAGGGGTGTGAAAGCCCTGGCCTTAGACATAGACGAAAGGCCAAGGTCTGAGATCATCCACAGACGAATGGAGGGAGGAGAGAGACGAAGGGAGGAKGAGAGGGAAGATGACGTCAACTCRATGKTTCCAAAKATAGTATCTTSAAATATCARAGATGYSGAAAACCCGAAATGTTGTGAATACAGTACCCCACAATGTCTCAGATATCGGTCTCACAATGTCAAGTACATCTCCAGAGAAGATGAAATCAGATCCCACAAATAGTCCTCAACCTATAGTCCCAATGTCGCTGTCTCCAATGTCATCACAGTTCGTAACCATCCTTCATACTTGTAGTAGTCCCGTAGGAGAATCCAGAAGTAGACTTAGACTGAGAAGGTAGGAGGAGAGAGAGAGAGAGAGAGAGAGAGAGAGAGAGAGAGAGAGAGAGAGAGAGAGAGAGAGAGAGNAGAGAGAGAGAGAGAGAGAGAGAGAGAGAGAGAGAGAGAGAGAGAGAGAGAGAGAGAGAAGAGAGGAGCGGTGGAGGAGATGAGGGAGAGAGGGCGAAGCCTTCCTCCCTGGTACCTGGTACAGTAGCTATGGTGCTGCAAGGGGGCTGGGCCGGTAACTGGCGCTGCGCCCAACGCTGCGCTAATCCGCTCGCTACCCCTCGCTGTGCTGCAGCGCTGCTCTAATGGAGCTAACGCTGAACTGATGCGCTAATCCTGAAGACTAACCTCTCGTCCATACCAACCTACCACTGAGGCTGGTACCCAGCCTTTCGTAGTGCTGGGCTGGCCTCCTACCTGCTGGTACCTACCGGCCTGGACCATTGATCTGAATCAACGGTCCAGATTTAAACTGGACTTGGCACCAATAATGTGGCAGCCTCTGCAGCGCCGCCGGTAGGTCCTGTGCTGGACCGGTACCGGCCTTGTGGCCGTTTGGCCTGGGCCTTTACCCTTGGCCTGCCTGAACCGCCGTGGTCCAGGCCTGAACCGTCGTCCCTTAGGCCTACCCTGCCTGTCTGGAACCAGGCCCTAACTGGGGCCCGTGTGGCTCAGAATGCCACCTTTGCCTCCGGCAGACAGTCCAGCTGCCTGCAGGCAGCCACGACACATGTCTTATGCCCTTCAGCATTAGATGTTCCGCCTGTACAACAGGATGTGGTCCCTGCCCAGAGTACACTCCTGATTCCCAGGACAGTCCCTGCCCAGGATGCGGCCCCAAACGTTGAGGGATTGGAACATGATCTTCCCGGATCATATATACCGTCACAAAGATATCAGAGCGCAAAAGTGAAAAAAAACAAATGGAAACAAGAAAGATATCAATTCATTTTTTATCTTCTTGCGTACAAGGCTGCCCACGTGTATGTAGGTTGAGCGGCGGCTGCCCTCACCCCTGTGTGTCATAACGACCCACTTGCACACAGGCAAAAGGCAAATAGGCAAAGAAAGAGGAAGGGAACAGCCAAATATAACAAAACAGGGGGAAACAAACAAAACAGATCCTAGATGACAAGTCCCACATGCAAGCACCGCCCCCTACATCACAGGCCAAACGACGGGACAATGAGCAACCAGGATATCAATCAACACCTATATATAACATATATTGATATATATATACATATACATATATATATCGTTAAACAGAACTGTCCGGTAAACTGTAGGCAGAGAGGGATAAGCGGACAACAAACAAGGGGCTGTGACAAATTGTTTCCTCGGACTGTAACCGACTCATCAGGAGGCTGAACCCTCAACAGTCTGCAGAATCCCCTAACTTATTACACTGTAAGAGATGATCCACCTTAACCCTGGTTGTGGTTAGCCATCCACAACTTCCCAACAACTGATACCCTGAGGTGGGGAGTGAAATAGAAAACCTGAAACCCGATGCAAGCAATCAGTCGAAGGCTGAAAGATGCATCGTCCACATTGGCAAAAACAGGCTCCGCATCGTATTTAGCTAAAATCACTACTCAATTTTTGATATGAAACGGTATTCACCTGTTAGCGGTAGCGAATGCAGATCCCAGGGCTCGATTCCTAGTCCTTACCTTACCTGTGTACAGTACCCTTGTCGACCCCGAGAGTTGAACCTGTGACATGTGTGTTCGCAACAGTTGGTAGGCTGTCGTAGGTCCGTAGGTTGTAGGGGTTCGATCTGTAGACCTGTCGGATAGAGGTCTTAGTGAGTTCTAGAAGTCGTAGCTGTNCAGTTGGTAGGCTGTCGTAGGTCCGTAGGTTGTAGGGGTTCGATCTGTAGACCTGTCGGATAGAGGTCTTAGTGAGTTCTAGAAGTCGTAGCTGTGGCTCCTCTGAAAGGTCAAGTTCGTAGCTGCTACAGTCCTGAAAGGTCAAGGTCGTAGCTGCTACAGTGTCGAAGGGCCAAGTCCACAGACTTCCCAAAGGTCCGGAAGTGGCCCTTCCAACTTCGCTCACAGTCGACTGGAGGCAAGTGGGCAAGTGGTGAAGTCCACCCTTGCTGAGTCAGCGGTACCGGTCCCAGTCAGTCCTAGTCCAGTCAAGCAAGTACCGTATGGGACTGTGTGCACCAAGGGCATGGGAAAGGGGCAGACCAACGAGTTACAGAAGTATAAATCAAGAGGCAGCACCCAGCCATTCGTTCATTCCTGTGTAAGCCATGCGGAAGCGCTGCTTGAGCGACTTGTGCGAGGTGGTCTGCAGAGTGCCCGAAGATGAAGTGGGCTGAAGAAGATAGTTAGCCATAGCTAGTGAGGGACAGCGGCCATAGCCGCCATAGCTGATAGGTGAGCGTGTTAGTGTTAGCGTGTGCGAGTGTGTATGTGTGTGGGATATCCAGGGTGATCCGGAGTTGAGTGAGTGCGAACAGTGGTGTTGAATAGAGAGATGAGAGTTGGTGTGTACAGGCGCTGAAGCGCCATAGCCAATTGAAGTGAGCTTGTATCTGAACTGTGTTTTCGACTTCCACATCTCTGAGCTTTGAGTGGGCGCTGTGCGCCAGTGTGACTCACCATCTGTTTGCATGAGTGCGGAGTGGAAAGGGAAGCGAGTTTGATTGCACTGGTATCGGAGCTGGTACCCGCTATCTCATGCGCCGTTCTTGTCCGCAGTATGCCGAAGTGGGGTGCCATAGTCGAAGAGCGCCAAAGTTGCAGTTCGCCATCACCAAGGAAGAGGTCCGCCATAGCTGCGCTGGTGGAGGAAGGTGCCGCGTACCTGCAAAGGAGACAACGATGAAGAAGAGAGAGACGGAAGAGAAGAGAGAAGCCATAGTTGAGGAAGAGGAAGGAGGGACGAAGAAGAAGAGGGAAGACATAGCCAGGGTGAAGGAAGAGCAAGGCGAGGTAGGAGAAAGAAAGGAGGAAGAAGAAGAAGGGTGGTGAGGAAGAAGAAAGCGGCAGCCATAGCTGAGTTGGAGGTTGACCAAGGTGTTGACCAAGGGGTTGACCGCAGCTGGTTTGGGCGTTGACTCCGGCATTGACCAAGGCGTTGACCAAGGTTGACTGACGCGTTGACCGTATGTTTGACCAGCGTTGACCAATATGTTGACCAGGGCTGCTGACCACGACCTTGACCAAGCTGGAATGGTATATTCTCGCCAAGTCCTCAGCCTATCCCGTCGCCCTATGGATGTGCACTCACCCTATGGTACTTGCTGAGTCTGTCTGTCTCTTCTTTCTGCATTGAGTCTCTTCTGTCCAGGTGCTAGGAACTCCGTGTATGAAGGATAGGGCCTTGTTGACCAAACCCACACGGGCTGAGTTGGGCTAAAGGCTGTGTCTGACGACTCGACTGTCCAGGAGGACACGAACCCTCCCAAGGACCGGTACTGACTGGCGGGCTGCTCGGTGTGGCACGGTAGGCCCAAAATCCGAGTTGTGGGCGACACAACAGGCTGTTTAATTCTTGAGAGGACTTGCTGATCGTGTCGTCCTGTCTGTGACGTTAAATAATTCCTGAGGAGTTACAGGGGATCTCCTTAAATGCCTCCTGATCAGCAACAAGTCCTGTAGTGACAGCCATAGTTTAGGTCTAGGCTAGAGACCCTAGTTGACAGGATCCTACTTGGGTTTTATGGTCCTTTAGATTGAGTCTAGGTCCAGTCAGTCAGATGCCGAGGTCTAAGTGGTGAGGTTTGGAACCATTGTCCAGTTGTGCACTTGTCACCATGGTTGACACTCGCAGTGGGAAGAGCACCATTCCATATAGCAAGGCTCAAGAGGAGCAGGCAGCCGCCATCCTCAGAGAGAGAAGAGAGAAGAAGGAGTTCCTCAGACAGGCAAAGATGAAAATGATAGCCGAGGAGCAGGCGGCGAAGAAGAAGAAACTGGAGGAGGAGATGAAAAGATTGCAGCAAAAAGAGGAGGAATTAATGAAGGCTGCAGTAGAAGAAGAGGTTGAAGAGAAGGAAGAGCAGCAAGAAGAAATGCCCCTAAGAAAGAGAAGACTAGGGGAAGGAGAAGGAAGCAATGGCACGAAAGAAGATGACCCGTGGGTGGAAAGGAGGATATCGGAATGGGTGGCTAATTTGTCTCTGGGAGAAGATGAGGAGGCGATGCTGTATATACCTCAGGACGAGAAGGAAGCCGCGATTAAGGAGATCGAGGCGGTGAGTGATCCCCTAGAACGCCAGGCTATAGAGAATGAGAAGAGGTTAGATTGGAAGTTGCGCCTAGCAAGGAGAAGAAGAGGAGGACGGAGGAAACCAACAGAATGGCTAGAAAAGTGGAAAGCTTACAGACGTGTAGACAAGAAGTAGAGGCCCAGCCTGACATTCAGGCTAAGTTGGACAGGATCCTTGGGAGCATTGAGCTCCTAGGTAGGGCCTGGACTGAGCATCATCAGTTTGTTAAGCGCCAAGAAATGGCCCTCCACTCCATCCAGTCTGGTTTTAGGGACTTCGCGCGCGATGTAACGACTCATGTCGGGACCGAAGTTAAAAAGTTAAGGGACAACGCAGAGAAATTTTGCGCAGGCGCCATTGAAGGTGCCAAAGTAGTGGCCACTACAGAGAGTGAAGTGCGTCCCCGCAAAGAGTCTGTCAAGCTCAAGTTTCCTTACTCTTATGGCGGGAAAAGGACGAAAACTTTGATAACCGGGAGGCCAGTATCAACACATACATGTACTTGCAACATATAGCGCCAGAGGAACGATTCATCGTGGCCTTCCATGCGTTAAAAGATGAAGCGACCAATTTTGCCAGGTCCCTCGCGCGCGCAGCCGATTGTGAATACAATATGGTTGCATACTCTAAACTCACCCCTCTCCACACCTTCCTCAAACTCCTGAGAGAGAGGTAAAGTGACGTCACACGAGGCGTCAGGGCCTCTAACAAACTGCAGACAATCCACTCACGACAGTGGAAGAGTGCGAGAGCACTCAAAGCAGTTATGGATGATCTGGTAGCCATCCCAGACCACGGGGTCACTGAGACCCAATTAGTTAACTTATTTTATCGTGCCATGCCAGAGCCCTTACGAGGGCATTTCTTTGAGAAGACCCAGCAGACCAGCATCACGTACGACGCGTCGAGTAGAGAGGTGGTCCTATTCGAGGCCAAATCCATGCCAATTTCCACTTTCTAGCATAAGGATTTAGACAAGGGAAAGAAGTGGAAGGGTCGTACCATCTCAGGTCAGGTCAGGGCACAGGATCACCTGATCCTTACTTTAGATGAGGGTGGTACTGACGAAGTCCCCTACAGTCAGATAGAGTGGGGGCTGGAGGAGGAAGATCGTAGTGTAGGTCAGGGGAGGACTTACTCTGCTGTCGCGGCTGGAGGGAGGCCGCAAGGTAGAGGAGGAGGCCAGGACCAAGGGGGTCGGGTCATAGGTGGTGGAGGTCCGAGTGCACAGGGGGGTGGCGGTCAAAGCAACCGCCAAGAGGGAGGTAGGGGTCAAGGTCCCTTGCCGAATCGCTCGGGGCCCAGTCGATCACCACGGCGCAGAGGTGGAGGATCACCTCAAAGGAGAGGAGGTTGGCACCCAGGTTGGCCACAAGGCCGGCCTTGGGAAGATTTGGGCTTGGACCAGAGAGTATGGCAACAACGGATGGAGCAGGGGCAATGCATCTACTGCGGTGACCCTACCCATACCATTAAATATTTTCCAAAGTATAGGGAAGCCCGATTTGCTGCCAACGGGTCAAAAGGCAGCCGTTGGTAGGAGTCGCAACTGCCCCTACCACTAGGCCATGAGGGGAAGTGTGCTCGCACCACTAGGAAACTCCCACACCACATGAGCCTATGGCAGAGGTTGCAGGCCAGTGCCTAGTTAGCTGTCCAGAGACCGCTTGTGTTAGAGTCTCCCTAGACACTTCCCTTACAGGTCTAGCAGAAGAGTTGCAAGAGAGAATGCCGGTCTGGGCTAAGATGAAAAAGGCGAGCAAAGGACAACTTGTATTAGTAGATTTAGAAGTTTTTAAAAGCAGATCTCATGGACACAGGGGCTACCCGTAGTTATATCAGTAGGAAAGCGCTAAGAAGTCGAGGCTAGGTCTGAAAGTCCAAAAGTTGGAAGACCCCATAGTCAGTATCCTCGCAGACAACCGCACGATGCGTGTCGAGGATTACGTCGAGGGAGTCCGGGCGTATTTGCGCTTAGAGAAAGATGGCAAGGTGGAGAAAGTTTTCCACTCTCTGGCTCTCCTCGTAGAGGACAACCTCCCTTTTGATATAGTCCTAGGTATGGACTGGGGAGAGTCAGCAAGGGCCACACTCCACTTAAGAGAGCATGAGTGTAGGCTCCCTAGTCCATCAGGCGAGGTCAAGACTGCCCATCTGTTCCATGTGTCAGGAGTAGATAACGCTCTGTCTCATTGTTGTCTCAGTGCTCCCACGTTCGCGCGATTAGTAAGGAAGGAGCAGTTAGAAGAGCAGGTCTTCGTAGCCTACGTGAGGCCTGTCACCGAGCCTAAAGAGGATAAGCCAATGGACCCAACTATTGCCAAGCTGCTGGAAGAGTTTAAAGACTTAGCAGAGCCACCGACAGGAGTAGTGCCGCGACCAATCCAGCACCGTATAAAGATAGAGCCTGGCAGTAGGACTCCTAAAGGTGTGATTTACAAAATGTCCCCAAGGGAGTTACAGGAGTTATGTAAGCAGTTGAACGAGCTCCTCGAAAAGGGTTGGATTAGGCCCAGCTTGTCTCCCCTTTGGAGCACCAGTTTTGTTTGTTCCCAAAAAGGAGGGGGAGTTGCGTATGTGTATAGACTATAGGGGTTTGAATGCTATCACAGTGAAGAATGTTGAGCCACTGCCTAGGATAGACGATCTCTTAGATCGAGTGCAAGGCTGTAGGTATTTTTCAAAGATAGATTTGAAGTCTGAATATCATCAGATAGAAGTCCATCCTGATGACCAGTATAAGACAGCTTTCTGGACTAGATATGGGCATTATAAGTTCATCGTGATGCCCTTTGGACTGACAAATGCGCCAGCCACATTCCAGCACTGCATGAATGATGTGTTTAGGCCTTGGTTAGATAGATTCGTCGTACTGTACTTAGACGATATACTAGTTTTCAGTAAGACCCTCCAAGAGCATCAGGGTCATTTGAGGCAGGTCTTCGAGAAGTTGAGAGAGACTAACTTCAAGATCAATGCGAAGAAGTGCGAGTGGGCCAAGACACAAGTCTTGTACTTGGGCCACGTCCTAGACGGAGATGGCATCAAGCCTGAGGATAGCAAGATAGCGCCGATTAGAGATTGGCCGACATCCCGCACGATAACAGAATTGCGGTCGTTTCTAGGCCTAGCTAATTATTATAGGAAGTTCGTGAGGAACTTCTCTACCATCGCCTCTCCCTTCGCAGGTTGCTCAAGAAAGATGCAATCTGGCAATGGGACAAAGATTGTACATCCGCTCTTAAGAAGTTAAAGCGAGCGTTGATAGAGTACCCTGTCCTCAAGGTTGCAGATCCGTCCTTGCCATTTGTCGTCACCATGAACGCAAGTCAGTACGGTATAGGCGCCGTGTTGCAGCAAGACGACGGCAATGGCTATAGACCCGTAGAGTTTATGTCAGCGAGGATACCTTCAGAGAAAGTAGCTACCTCGACTTACGAGAGAGAACTCTACGCTCTCAGGCAGGCCTTAGAGCACTGGAAGCATTACCTGCTCGGGAGGCACTTCAAAGTTTATTCAGACCACGAGACTCTTAGGTGGCTGAAAACGCAGGCCATAATGACACCTAAACTAACTAGGTGGGCCTCTGAGATAGATCAGTATGACTTTGAGCTCAAACCAGTCCAGGGCAAGTATAATGTAGTTGCGGATGCTCTAAGTAGGAGATCAGATTACTTTGGAGCTATAGTTCACTATCTGGATATAGGGAGAGACCTGCAAGAGAAAGTAAGACAGGTGTATGCGCAGGACCCTATTTATAGTGACCTCCTCAAGAAAGTTAAGGAGGCCCCAGAGACTGAACCACATTACCGCACTACAGACGGACTACTGTTTGAGAAGACCAATGTAGTAGACCGTTTGTGCATTCCTAATAGTGAGGAGATCCATAGTTTGATCCTGGGGGAATGCCACGACACAGAGGGACATTTCGGTTGGCAAAAGACTTTAGCCAATCTGATGCATGCGTATACCTGGCCAGGAATGAAAGCCGACTGCATAGAGTACATTGGCAGTTGCAAAGTTTGTCACAGGAATAAGACAACTACGCGTGCCCCTCTAGGTCTTCTTCGACCCTTGCCTATACCTGATCAGCTTGGCGATTCAGTATCCATTGATTTCATGGATGCTAGCGTCAAAAGTAGGCATGGAAAGAGCCAAGTCATGGTAATAGTGGATAGATTTAGCAAATATGTTGGTTTTGTTCCCTTACCCGCAAAAGCCCGTACAGAGTTAGTAATTCAAAAGTTTTTTCACTTTTGGGTTAGTGATCACGGGATCCCATTGTCCATAGTTAGTGATAGGGACACCCGGTTTACAAGTCAGAACTGGCAGGAGCTAATGAGAGTATACGGCTCAAAGTTGTTGATGTCGTCTGGCCGTCACCCAAAGACTAACGGTCAGACAGAGCAGATGAATAAAATCCTGCAACAAGTTTAAAGTATGTACACTAGACCAGATCAAGTCAACTGGGACGAGATGTTGCCCAAGGTAGCCAGTGCATATAACAACAGCGTGCATCTAGCCACCTGTCGTACTCCCAATGAGCTGCATGTCCAAAGAGTTTGCTCCTGAGGAAAACATTTCGCAGAAGTTACTGCCAGCATACCGAGGACCGTGGCCAATTCTAGAAGTTAAGGGCGGAGAGGATGGACCGTCCTATACGATTGAAATCCCAGCACACCTCCACACCTACCCGGTGTTCCATGCGTCCAAGTTGTTGCCGTGTGTCACGAGTCAACAGTTTCCATCAAGAAGATCCATGATCCCTCCGAACATGGATGGAAGGTATGACATCAAGGGCATTGTAGGTGAAGACGTACTCAGAACAGGAGGTAGAGGCCGTCCACAGAAACAGTATAAAGTTCGATTTGCTTATCAGGAACCCGAGGACGATCGCTGGTTTACTAGAACTGAACTTCTAGAAACAGCTCCCGACGTAGTTAGAGCCTACGAGAGAGAAAATAAACGTAAAAATCCGGTCTTGAACTGAATTATTCTTGGAGGACCTCGAATTTAGGCCGGCGGGAGTGAAACGGTATTCACCTGTTAGCGGCAGCCAATGCAGATCCCAGGGCTTGATCCCTAGTCCTTACCTTACCTGTGTACAGTACCCGTGTCGACCCCGAGAGTTGAACCCGTGACCTGTGTATTCGCAACAGTTGGTAAGCTATCGTAGGTCTGTAGGTTGTAGGGGTTCGATCTGTAGACCTGTCGGATAGAGGTCTTAGTGAGTTCTAGAAGTCGTAGCTGTAGCTCCTCTGAAAGGTCAAGTTCGTAGCTGCAACAGTTCTGAAAGGTCAAGGTCGTAGCTGCTACAGTGTTGAAGGACCAAGTCCACAGACTTCCCAAAGGTCCGGAAGTGGCCCTTCCAACATTGCTCACAGTAGACTGGAGGCAAGTGGGCAAGTGGTGAAGTCCACCCTTGCTGAGTCAGCGGTACCGGTCCCAGTCAGTCCTAGTCCAGCCAAGGGCAGACCAACGAGTTACAGAAGTATAAATCAAGCGGCAGCGCCCAGCCATTCATTCATTCCTGCGTAAGCCATGCGGAAGCGCTGCTTGAGCGACTTGTGCGAGGTGGTCTGCAGAGTGCCCGAAGAAGAAGTGGGCTGCAGAGGATAGTTAGCCATAGCTAGTGAGGGACAGCGGCCATAGCCGCCGTAGCTGATAGGTGAGTGTGTTAGTGCTAGCGTGTGTGAGTGTGTATGCATGCGGGATATCCAGGGTGATCCGGAGATGAGTGAGTGCGAACAGTGGTGTTGAATAGAGAGACGAGAGTTGGAGTGTACAGGCGCTGAAGCGCCATAGCCAATTGAAGCGAGCTTGTATCTGAACTGTGTTTTCGACTTCCACATCTCTGAGCTTTGAGTGGGCGCTGTGCGCCAGTGCGACTCACTATCTGTTTGCATGAGTGCGGAGTGGAAAGGGAAGCGAGTCTGATTGCAGATATGTGTCGTCAAACAGAACTGCCCGGTAAACCGTCGGCAGCGAGGGAGAAGAGGACAACAAACGAGTGGCTGTGACAAACTGTGAGTTGGTGAAACTCCGAGGAAACAGTTTGTCACAGCCCCTCGGTTGTTGTCCTCTTCTCCTCTTCTACCTCACTGCCGACGGTTTACTGGGCAGTTCTGTTTATTTTTTGTTTTTGGTAAAGAATTTCGATGTAACCCTGAGGCAAAGGTTGTTCAGTTTATTTTTCTGCATAACATAGTTGCTTTTCGGATTTTTTGGACTTTTTTGTTTTCCTTTTTTTTGCTGGGACCTTCCCTGGTCCTTGCACGGCCGGGGTGCCCGGGAAAACAAGGTGACCCAGGCAGCCCAGCTGGTAGCCGAGATCCGGACCCAATTTGCCATTAAAGTCCTAGCATGACTATACCCATGTCCTCAAACTTCTCTCGAAGTAGTGAGAATGACCTATCAATATGTTCCTTTTTCTTTTCCCCTTTTCTTTTCTTGTCGATATGCTTTTATATCACTAATGCTTTTTTTTTTGCTTTTCTTTCTTTTTGTGGACATGCTTTTAGATCACTCCATGTTTTCAATTCATTTATGCCAAGAGAAGAAACAGACAACTTGAAGAAGCAACTTATTCACCCACCCAAGCAGGAAGCCCACATATCTTCTATTCTCGATGGTGTATCTCATTACCTGCCAAGGCAAACCCTTCTGATATATGATGGGAAGCTGGACCCGTTTCAGCATTGCCTGCTCAGTCAATCCTCTGCAAGGGTAATCAATGCCGGCAGGTTTGTCTGATGTATGATGGGACGCTGGACCCGTTTTGCAGCAAGTGCTGCTCCCCACTAATAGATCGGAGCAACCAACCTCGCTAGTGGGGGATGCTCTTATCACCTCCTCTAGCGAGGGGACCGCTTATTCAAAAAAAAAAAAAAAAAAAAAAAAAAAAAAAAAAAAAAAAAAAAAAAAAAAAAAAAAAAAAAAAAAAAAAAAAAAAAAAAAAAAGCGGGCATTTGCTTTGTTCCCTCCCGCAAAAGATAAGAGTCAAATAGACCTAATGAGGACCACATGCAATCAGCGGTAGAAATTTTTTACAAAAGACCGCGAAAAGCAATGCAAAACCACAAGAGGTAGCTTTTTAAACCCCAAAAAGAGTGTAACCCGAAGCAAGAACTTCAGCACACCTTACTCGTTGACAAATGCAAGTAGTCTCTCTGCAACCATTGCAGGCTTCTCAAGGTGTGGTACGTGACCGCACTCTGGAATCCATGTGAGCGACGAACAAGGAAGCAGATCAACAAACACCTGAGCTGTCGACGGTGGGATTATTTTGTCCTCCTCGCCCCAGATGATTAACGTCTTTTGCCTGACCTCCGGGATCCTGCGAGCTACATTGAATCCGCCGCTCTTGATGAAGCTCACCTGTGCCTGCGCCCAGCCCGGCATCAGGCAGCTGAGCCGTCCTACTCTAACCGCATCTGCAGTGGCATAAGTTTTCACATCGTGGTAAGTCATCCTATTTGCCAACTCCCTCAGCAACTGGCTTTTCAGAACTGCAACACCTGCGTAAGCGAGGAAGTCGGGTAGTTTCGCCAAGTTGCCGGTTCCTTCAGCAAAGCCCTGGGCATCGATAAGTGCAATCTGCGCAACCGCCTCAGGATGTGTCAGTGCTAATTCCAATGCGAGGGTACCGCCAAGGCTTGCGCCCACCACTAACATGGGTTTCCTAATATGTTGCCTCCAGAACTCAAATAGGTGTTCCGTCTTTTCCGCCGGTCCAAACTGCTTTACGCCTTTGTTGACCGTGTCCGAAAACCCCCACCCCAGGATATCCACTGCCCATGCTTCTGCACCTCCACGGCACAGGCGCATATGAAGTCTCCGGAATTCGAGACAAGAGCTGTCAAATCCGTGGAGCAAGACGATCGGCATGGGCGATGAAGTAGTTTGGTCATTGGAGGAGGATAAGGGTCCGACAAAGCTGGAGGGAATCGCAATGTCGCAGAAACTCCCTTGGACAGGAAGCTTCTCAATTCTCATGGCCATGTCCCTCGCCATCTCCTCTTCGATGTCCTCAACTTCGGGAGGAAGGAAGTCGGGGAAAACAACTCTCTCTGTAACACTCGTTGCCATTCTGGCGATCACACTTGTTCGGTAGCTGGTGCACGCCGCAAAGTCTCTTCGATTGACATCCCCATCGTCGATATCTGCTAACCTCCTGGACAGAAAACCGGTCCTATTCCTACCAACCGCAAGTCTATCAACTGCGCCTGGCATCAGAAAACCCTGACAAACTCCTCTCTTGCCAGGTGATAGGACTTCATCGCACCCCAGTACCCCAGATCTTGCCGAGACGACATGACCAGAACACAATGGTTGTCGTGTCGACAATAGAAAAGAGTAGTTTCTCCTCAGTCTCGTAGACCCAGCAGGTCTGCAGAGAGCATCTGCGAAACCCACTTTGCTGCCTCCTGCAGAGCGCAATGAGAAGCCGAAATATGAATCGACAACACCGCCCCGAGCTGCCGACAACGAGACGCTCTCTGTGTCTGTGATGCTACAGAGAGGCACTTCCATGGTGGCATGAACTAGCTTTATCCTGTCGCGGGTCGATGGAGGTATGCTCGACAGCGGAGGATGAGCGAAGACCCCTTGCTGGTGAATCATTTTCTGTGCGAAGAGCAGGGATGTACCAGCGCACACAGGCCGGTCTTCGCTGTGATGCCGGGGACCCATCTTAGTGCGCAAGATGCCAAGAAGGCATCTCTGTGGTGCTGCAATTCTGTTAGTGCACGGATGTGATGTTGCCGACTTCACAAGGTCACCTGCGGCGCACAGGCCAGAGGAGGAGCCATGGCTGTCTCCGAAGAGAAGCACATTAGCGCAGGGTGCATGCGATTGACAGTGTATCGCAAACGATGAGCATAGTGTGGGAAGCTGTAAGCCTAAACACCCAGCCATACTTCTAATGATCTAATATGATCCTTAGTATTCCTTACTGAATATTAAAATTTCATTAGTTTGTTTTCAATAAAGGAGATGAAACAACTTGGCAAGAACACAACCACCGTTGCCGAGCAGGAGGGCAAGGTAGCTGCTGTGAAGACTGCAGAGTGAGCCTAGGTGAAGCGGGTCCCCGCGGTGCAGATCTTGGTGGTAGTACCAAATATTCAAACTGCTACTGCTTCTCTGGCCGCCCGTCACTTCTCGCGAGGTTTCTTCAAGTTGGGAATGTCAAACATTCAATCCTTTGCTCTCGCAATGAACATGTATCAAATAATTACTTTGAAGTTTGAACCACGAACGCCAAGAACGGAGCTCCGATTCTCTTCATCGCACAGCCAGAAGATGAAGAAAGCACATGCATTTCTTCTTATAGGAGTACCCACCCTTCCTTCCTTCCACATGTAGGTATTACTTACTGCTCATCTCCTCATCCTCTTTACCATTTCCATTCTTCTTCTTTCTTCTTTCTTCTTCTTCTTCTTCTTCTTCGACTACTACTAGTTTTTGTTTATACTTTCCTTCTTATCTTTAACTTCTTTGTTTTCAATCCTTCCATGAATAGGAAAGAAAATATACTTCTCTAGATACCTGACCAAAAAGAGAAGTCATTACATGATTTGGTGAACACTTCATTAATAACAAAGAAGATGGGAGAGCAAGACTGCAGAATCTGTGCAGATGTATTAAACACTGTTATGACTAGATCTGAGAGTCTTTCCCCCAATGCTTAGAGCTGATTGCCCCTGAAGGAAAACTCAGGCTGTTCAGATCCGCACAGAGTTCTGAAAGAGTGAGGACTCTCAAGGACAACAAAATGAATCCCTCAGTATCAAGTTATCAACCCTGTAACAAAATTGTAAGAAATCTGCAAAAAAAACTAGTCCCGCACAATCATTGTGCCACTCACGTTGGCAGGAGGACCGTTCAAGTTGGTTCAACAAATCAAACACTTTCTGGAAACACTACAGAGTCCATATCTATAGCACTGCAACCGCTGCTGCAAGAAGACGAAGACAAATATGAGGGCAACGATAACAACACCAAAGCCAAAGCCGCTGCCGCCGCCGAAGAAGGAGAAGGAGAAGAAGAAGAGCAGGCGGAGGAAGAAGAAGAAGAAGAAGAAGAAGAAGAAGAAGAAGAAGAAGAAGAAGAAGAAGAAGATGGCTCTGCTGTTGTCAAAATTAACAGAGAAATCAAATAAGCAGCCACCGATATTACGATCAACAACCACAACTTACTACCATTGGCACTAGGATGACGACGGCGACGACTACTACTACTACTACTCTAGGTGAATGGCATAGTCAGGGGTTCGATTATCACTAGCTTGGTTAGAACATGAATTATACATGTCAGACCTCCTTCAGAGACTTTTCAAGTGTTAATTGCGCTGCTGCCACCTGTTGCCGCCACGCGTTGATCGAAGCCTGCGTTTTCTTCACAAGTGCATCCTTTTCGCGAATCTCTGCTTCCAAGGTTGCAATTTCCTGCACGACAACAAAGGCGCAAACATCTTGAAAAACGACACACAGCTGCAGGACGCCTCAATTTGCTTTTTTGGCATTGTTGGATAGTCCAACCATTCTAAGTAAAATACTAAACAGAAATGTTTCTTCAAGTGTGAAAATTTCTGCTGAACACTGAACAGTGAATGCGCATTTTCGTTATTTTCATCAAACTGCAAGGTCCGGTGCTTGTTCCCGAACCCCCGAGATCTGCAAATTGTATCAACAGTTAATGGATCAGCTGGAAGAGTCTGTAGGAAGGCCAGTGGGACCTCTGTTGGGAACCTCAGCGTCTAGCTAGGTCTACGCCAGGTTGAGTCCCAGGTCCAGCGGTACAAATGGATAAAGCCTACCGCCTTCGACCTGGTCAGCTGGCAGAGTCTGTAGGAAGGCCAGTAGGACCCTGTTGGGAACCTGGGGGTCTAACTAGTTCTATGCCAGGTCGAAGCCCAGGTCCAGCGGTACAAATGGATAAGGCTTTCCGCCTCAGACTGCGGCAGTTAGGCCTTTATGCCAGGATAAAGACCCGGTAAAACTCCTGGCATAAAGGCCTAACTGCGGCAGAGGTCCAGGTCTGCTTGCCTCCCCACGGTAAAGGTCTCAGCCTACCAGTGCCAACTGCACGCAGGAAAGGTCTGCTGTCTGACCAAGACCTCAGAACTTGGTAACAGAATAAGGGCGGCGCTCCACTCTCTACATGCATTTGGACGACTCGCTAGACCAGGTGCATTGGGACGAGTTCAACATTTTCGAACGTATCTGGTCCAGAGAGCGTCCAAATGCATGTAGAGTGTTGTGTAGTGGAGCGAGGGCCTAAGACCAGAAGGTGTGCAGGTGGTTCAATTGCCAGCCGACATGAGGTATAGCGGGGACAGGAAGACTTACTGAGTATAAGTGAACAAGAGCGTCATGTATAGACATATCCTACCAACGGGCCTAGCTCAGTGGGTACACCCACAAACTGTTGAAATACAGACCTGAGTTCGAATCCAGATACAATCACATGACCAGAATAAAAAGGGTCTGACGATCTTACCATGCTGGCGTATAAGCAATGCCGCTCCTTCGTCCACTGAAAAACAGCACATACGGGCGAAAGGTTCATGCAAGGAGCCACATCGGCTAATAACTCCGACCACTGCACTTTGCCTGGTCCAATGAACTCAACCCCCAGGGATACAAACTTGTGACAACAGCCCTCCCCTTTGAGTTATATCCACAAACACTCCACAAGCCAGGGGTGAAACCACAGGACTTCCCCATGTCACCCAGAGTGCCACCACTTAAACACCCAACCAGAGTAGTGGACCTCTCTCCATGTGCTCCAAAACAGCAGGCCGTGGGAACTACAACCTGCAGCAATACTCTCTGCACCTCCTCGTGAAGCTCGTGGCCAACCATCCCACTTCCACCACAAACCAAGAGAGCCCATGCTTCCTTCCGTCCAGGGCAAAAGTACAAGTCCAAAAAGTCTCACCTCGGAGTATGCCCCCCTGAGAGTACACCATCCCCCTAATAATACAGAAAGTACTCCCGTGGAGTACGGCCAAACCATTCGGCACACCTCAGCATAGACCACTGAAAACATCGAGGGGGCAAACGGGAAGGGGGGGGGAAAGAGAATGGTAGAGGAAAGGAGAAGAGAAAAGGAGAGAAGGAGAGTAGAGAAGAAGGAGAGTAGAGAAGAAGGAGAGAAGGAGAGAAGGAGAGGAAGGAAAAGAACTGCATTGCATGGAAGGAGGGAGAGAAAGGTAGAAGACAGGAGGGGGTGAAAGGGGATGGGGATAAGTGAAAGAAAGGAGGGGAGGAGGGGAGAAGGACAGGAGGGGAAAAGGGGAGGGAGGAAAAGAATTGCACGGGAGGGAAGGAGGGAGAGAAGGGTAGAAGACGGGAGGAGGGGATTGGGGTAATTGAAGAAGAGATATTACAGCGCGAGAGGGGGAAGAAGAAAGGGTAGGAGAAAAGGTGAGAGAAAGGCAGAAGAGAGGACAGGTAGAGAGGGGGGGTAGAAAAAAGGCAGACAAGAGAGGTGCAAGGAGAAGGAGAGGGAAGGAATGAAACTACCTTCTTCAGCACTGACTTCCGGTCTTGCTGATGCTGCAGTCGGAGGTTAACAAAGTTCGCTTCTAATTCACAGGCAGCATCCAGGAACTCACGAATACGTCCCTCCACATCGGCTACATACAGTAGCACACAACAACCAAAACGAAGAGATGCCAGGATCACGGAAATGTGCACGATAATCAAATTTTTTGTACAGTCTGAAAAGCACTCAATCCATTCCCTCAACAGCAAAGAAGACTCAAGGACGGAGGACAGGAATGCATGAAACTGATGCGCAGATGTGGACCAGTATTCCTGCGTGCAGACAGCACGTGTGCTATCAAGAACCCCAAACTCTTTCCTCATCCCATCCACTCTGTGTATGTGTGTGTGTGTGTGTGTGTGTGTCAGAGAGAGTGTATGTGTGTGTGTGTGTGTGTGTGTGTGTGTGTGTGTGTGTGTGTGTGTGTGTGTGTGTGTGTGTGTGTGTGTTTTGTCATATCCGCTATACACTCAAGAAACTCATGACTTTGCCAGACTGTTTCGTCGGACTTTCACCGACTTGTCAGGAGGTTGAACCCCGACAGTCTACCCAGGATACATTTGACTAATGGACAAGGACTCACCACATCGCCCAGAGTCAGCGATAACCCTGAGAAAAGTGGTCGCCTTTACTCACACCAACCTTGCAATGTGTGTTATGAATTATCACCATAACTTCCCCTATTCCACCCAGATGAGTAGATCCAAAGTCATAGCACTTTTACCTCTATTGCAGACAATGACGCATGCTTAAGATGAGCCAATCCACCAATGAAACAGTTTTGTTTGTAAAGTCAATATTTATCCAAAACCACCGGAATCTTACCTATACAAGCAAGGAATCTCACCTTATACAAGCAATGCAACACATTTGACATGGGTCAACCCAACAGTAAAACTAATACGAGACACAATAAATCTGTTATATTGTTTTCTTCATTAAAGCTGTCATCAACTAACTAGATGACCCGTTGCGGCTTCGCTCACAAAAACAGAAAAAAGAAAAAAGCACAAAAGAAAGAAAACGCATAAGGAACTGCCCTATCATATGCCGCTTCTTTCACAATAAGAAAAAGAAGAGCCTGAGAGCAGACGAAACGTGCAAGAAAATAGCACGGAATACCACCGAACATTCTTTTTTCTTTATCTTTGCGTGTTTTGTTTGGGGAGCCGTTACCTTTGCAGCATCGTTTTTGTTTTCTGCTGTGCAAGTACTCTGGACTTTTCTGAGAAAATCCAGTCTGTTGTCCCGTTGATGTTTTTGGTAAAGATTCAGCATCAGACTTTGTTTGCTGTGTTCTCTGGATATCTTTGTGATCAAGCGGTCTTGCATGTATGTATGCCCCATGCTTACTTGTTGAGTTTGGACGCTGTGTGTGCAAGTGCAAGCGCGTGTGGGTGAGTCTTAGTTTGGTGGGCTCGGATGATGTCATTGACGATTGGCCCGGGGAAGCTGTTGGAAGGCGCCTCCAACTATAGGAGTGCCACTGATGTTAAGCAGGTTTTGCATTGTATGAATGAAACAATCAGCATTCCATTTGCTTGGCAGTTGCTCTTCAGGTGGGGGACTTGTCGGGAGTAGCATTGACATGAGAGCCATAATGCCGGGCGTGCGTCTTGGAACATTTCCTTGAAGGCAAAAGGCAAAGAAGAAATGAAGTAGCACGTGTCAGAGTCACATAATGGACAGCTTGGCACAGCTCCCCCCCC